TATGTGTGTGTATGTAACACTGCCTTTCAAATAAATAAATCTTTGAAAAAAGAAAGATAATTGATATTTTAAAAAATGGCATGACCACATTGCTGGACGGTTTGACAGTTTCTTAAAAACTAAACATCCTCTTCCCACAGGATCCAGGAAACATGAAGTCGTGTCCACACAAAAACCTGCACACAGATCTTACCGCGGCTGAGCTAATCATCGCCAACATACGGAGGCAGCCACGGGGGCCGTCAGTGAGTGGATAAACCATGGCACCGCCCGACAGTGGGGTCCTGGTTGCCACTGAGATAGGAGCGAGGCAGCCAGGGAGACACACAGCACGTCAGGACCTGAATACACAGCCCGCCGCCAAAGGCAGCTCTGCGCAGACAGGAAAAGGATCAGGGGTCGCCAAGGGTTAGGGAGGCAGGGCGGGATGAACTGGAAAAACAGAGTGTTTGGGTCAGTGGAGATGCTGGGCATGGGACCGTCACAGTGGCGAGTTGGCATTAGACATCGCCAAACCCTTAGAATGTACTGTACAGCGAGTGAACCCGCAGGCGGCCCCGTGACTCGGGTGATGACGACGGCCAGGCAGGTTCATCAGCCACCGGACATGGGCGCTGTGGGGGCGACGCTGATGGTGTGCGTGTGTGTGTGTGTGTGTGTGTGGTGCATCAGGGATGGGCTTGGGAATCCCTGCACCTGCTCTCCAGGTTCTGTGAGGCTAAAACAGCTCAACAAGTAAAACCTCAGGGGTGCAACCCTTTCGTGAGTGGTGGAATAAATTAAAAATGGTGTCAGGAAACATCAGATACACTGCATGCAGTATTCTTTTGTCATTAAACACGGGTGCTGGGTTGAGCAGAAAAATGCACCTCTTTGGCTTGTTAGAAGAGAAGCCACCCTGCTTCTCAAAGTCCTCATGGCAACGGCACCTGGTTGGCTGCGGGATGTAACCTGCAGCCATAATTGGGAGGCTGAGGGCAGAAGAGACGCTTTTCCTTGACTTTCTGCATTTAAAACGTTCTTGAGTTTTAATCACTTTTACTTTCAGTTCCACTAACTAGGACCTGAAGGGGAAGAGCAGGGACGTGTGTGTGTGTGTGTGTGTGTGTGTGTATCTGGGTGTGTCTATGCGTGCAACTGTGTGTGCATCAGTCGTGTCTGTGTGCACCTGTGTGCATCTGTGTGTGTCTGTATATCTCTGTGCACCCATGTACATCTGTGTGTATGTCTGTGTCCATATGTGTGTCTGTGTCTCTGTGTGCATGTGTGTGTGTGACCAGCCTTTGTCTGAAGATAGCAGTCTAGAACAGGGTTTCTCAGCTTCTGCCCTACTGACTTGCCGGCAGATAATTCTTTGTGATGGGGCGTGCTGGGCGTCACAGGCTTGGTAGCGCCCAAGGCGCCCACTTGCTTGGTGCTGGCAGCATTCGTCAGCTGTGAGCAGTCGCAGGGACCCTAGCAAATGTCCTGGGGCACTGCGGGGGGGGGGGGATTGACCCAGCCTGAGACCCACTGCTCCAGAAACGAGGGCCTTGCTCATCTGTGGAACTCCTGGCTCCCCCACCCTCAAGCCCTGTGCTCTATCTCTGTTCAGAGGCAGGCTTGTCCAGGCCCAGCATGGCCCCACCCAGCGAGCTGGTATCTCTGCCACCCCAAGTCTCTGTCAGTTACAGCCTCAAGATCAGCTTCCCCAGCTGGGTGCTAGCAGTCCAGGGCGCATGACTGTCCCCTCATGGGCTAACTCCGGCCAAGTCCCTTATCTCTCTGGCAATGGGGGATGCGCCCGTCCTAGCCCACATCAAAAGGGGAAAAGGGGGCTGGGCAGAGGCGGGATAACTTCACAGTTGGGAAAGCCCTTGGAGAGTTCAAAGCCGCCTTCAAAGGGGAGTGGTTATTATTACATGTTGACACATCAGTCGGGGAGCAGCGGCCTCCCTGCCCTGGGCACAAAGGCTGCACCTGGGAGTTCGGCAGCGGCACAGGGGGAGGGACTCAGCCCTTTAATTTACTTTTCCTCACCTCTAATGTTTCAGTGGGACCGAACGTGAACCCCAGGCTAAGCCCACGGTCTGAGTAGGTCTGGAATACGTTCCCGAGGGAAGGCCCTGCCCGGAGCCAGAGCCCGGTCTGGGATGCTCCGGGCAGCCAGTCCAGCCTGGAGGCCGTGGGCACAGCCGCGGTGCCTGCTGTCCTGGGTCACGGGCTGGTGCGAGTGCAGCCCAGGGACGGGCACAGCGAGCCCGATGCACACCGTGTACTTTCTCCGTTCAGACGAGACGGAGCAGAACGGCGACCGCAGCACGCACACTGCTCGCTCTCTTAACTGTGTCCCACTTCCACCACGTGGCCTTTTGACCTGGCCTGGCCTGGCTGGGATTTCCCCGTCCTCTCGAGCACCTTGTGGGTGGGCTCACAAATAAAGCAGGCCCCCTAATTAGACCGACTTAGGACATTTAGCCATCATAGTTCCCCTCACTGCTCGGAGAGGGAAGTGACAGGTCCCAGAGGGGTTTGAAGCAATGACATGGGCAGCTTTGTAGCTTGAGAGAGAGTGTGTGTGGCGGGGGAGGGGAGCATGGCAGGTGCTTGTCACGGTGTAGCTTGTCACGGTCGTCCATGGAGATGCGGGTGGCCTCATCGGGGACAAGGCAGTGGCCAGACAGAGATGCACAGGGTAGGTAAAGTCCGTGGGATGAGGGAGAGGACAGAGTTCAGGCGGAGGCCTACTTTGGTGGTGTGGGTGCCAGTGAGATGGTGTGGAGGGGGGAACAGGAGTAGGGGCTGAGCGAGGAGAAGCCGCCTGTCTCAAAGTCTGCCGCTCACAGCCCCTGAGCTGTGGCCACTCTGGCTTCGACTGACCGCCCTGGCTCCAGGACCTCCACATTTGATGTTCCTTTGACCAGAGACCGATCCCCAGGCCCAGACTGGGAACTTCTCACTCCTTAGGTCTCGGCTCAATGGCAGCTCCTCCGCAGCCGAGGACAGAGAGCACACGCCAAGCCCTGCAAACCCTCTGCCCGTTCCTTGCATCATATTTATGGCACACACCTGTTGAGGTCTAATCTACCCACTGCAAGGGGACAGTGCAGACTTACAGTTATGCCACATCCCTACGAATCAGCTTTAGAACATTCCCCTCACTCCCCCAATTCCCATGAACTAATTTGCAATGTCTGGTGCCACCCACACTTCATTTATCTGGCTATTCTATATAAGTGAAGTCATATGGTATGGAATCTTTTGTGGCTTTTTGCTTAGCACAATGGTTTTGAACCAGGAGTGATTTTATGTTCCAGGGGGTATCTGGAAATAATCCAGAGTACGTTTGCTTTCCACACCTTGGAGAGGGTACTGCTGGTATCCAGGGGGTAGGGGCCAGAGACACTGCTAAGCATCCTACAGTTTGCAAGACAGTGCCTCAAAAGAGACAATTATCTGTCCCAAATGTCAGTAGGGCTGAGATTGAGAAATCCTGAAGAGCACACAGTTTTTGAGGTTCACCCGCACTGTAGCCCGTTTTCCGTATTTGATCGCTTAAGAGCATCGCATGGGACATCCACAATTTGTCTTTCCATTTCCTGCTAATGTGATTGGGAGAGCAGCGGAAGACGCCTCGAGTGCTTGGGCCTCTGCCGCCCACCTGGGAGACCCAGATGGGGTTCCAGGCTCCTGGCTTCAGCCTGGCCCTGCTCCAGCTGATGAGGCCATTTGGAAAGTGAACCAGCCGACGGAAGACCTTTTTCCTCTGTCTCTTCCCCTCTCTCTGTTACTCTGCCCTTCAAATAAATAAAAACAAATCTTGATAAAATTGTGATAAAATAAACATAAATGTTATCTTTTTTTCCATTGTATTTGAAAAGAGAGAGAGAGAGAGAGAGAGGGAGAGAGAGATTCCTTCCATCTCCTAGTTCGCTCCCCATGCCCACACTGAACACAGCTGGGTCAGGCTGAAGCCAGGAGCCCAGAACTGCACCCAGGTCTCCCAGGTGGGTGTCAGGAACCAAACACCGGCACCGTCACCTGCTGCCTCCTGAGATGTGCACTAGCAGGGAGCAGGCGTCCTGACAAGGGACGCAGGCGACTCCGGGGGCTTCTCCCCCACTGCTCCAAACCCTGCCCTTTATTTTAGTAACCTTGAAGGCCGTTACACCCCCACTCACACGCTTCCATCCCCAGAACCGTCTTCACCGCCCAGACTGTAACTCTGCCCGTGCCGCACCACCCCCCTCTCCTGCCTCCACCCCACCTTCTGGAAGTCCCCTGGGGTGTAATTTCACACTTGCCAGTGGATTATTTCTCCCGTGACTGTCTCCCATCCTAGGCCACACGCTCCCAGCGGGCAGGAGTGCCGGTCATTCTGCTTATCCCTCTGACCGCAGTACCACGGCAGGCACTTGGTTAACACTTGTTGAATTCATAAATACTTAAGGTGGGAAACAGAACACCCTGGGAGCCATGTTAAGAGGGAAAAGTCAAGGCTGGATGTATTTTAGAAAAAAATAATAATAATACTCGCTGAGCACCTGCTGTGCTGCCCAGCCCGGCGCCAGCCCCGTCACTGAGCGCTTACTCCGCTTGGCACACAGCTAACCTCTGCGGCTCCACACTTGCCCGAGTGCACAGCCAGCCCCCGCTCTAGGACGGAGATGCGAGTCAGACTCCGGAGCGAGTGCGGACCCAGACGACCCCAAAGGCCCCGGGCTGCTGGGCGGAGCCGCGCTCACCCCCAGCGCCGGGTCTGACCGGGGGAAGCCAGCTAAGACGGGGAGCCGACGGGGTCCCCCGTTTCGGGTGGGAGTGGGGCCGCGAAGCGGGCAGAGCCCACAGGGGGCTGCCCTGTGGCCCCCGCGGCGGTGGAAAGCGAGGTCCAGCCCGAGGCCCGGAGCCGGGACGGCGAGGCGACGGGGCTACTTATTCCTCAGGGAGCTGAGGGGCGCGGACTAGCCCCTAACCCACTTTCCTCGGCGTCCCAGACCTCAGGGCGGACCCCGGTTACTCACCGGTTCCGAGGGGTTCCACCTTTCTCTGCAGTTACAGCGGCGGTGCCCGCGTTGCTAGGTTACCTGTCAGTCTCAGGGGGCGGGCCTCGGAGTCTGACTGACTTTGCTTTTTACCATTCAATTTCTTGTTTTGGTCCGTGAGCCCCACCTCTTGAGGTCTGACCAATCAGAAGCAACGCCTCGCTGCTGTTCCGCCAATTGAAAGACCTGGGACTTTCTCTGGGTTGGGCTGAGTGAATAAAGCGGGGCGGGTGGGAAAGGGCGGAGCTTCTTAGTCCCGCCCCTTTTTAAGGAGGCGGGCAGGCAGTCTTGCTTGGGCAGCAAACGAGAACTGAGGAAGGACGTGACGCCTGGCCAATCAGAACTCAGCATGGCAGCCCAGGTAGCCAGTAGGCCGCAGCGGAGGAGGAATGGGGCGGGGCCGGCGGGGTTGAAGGGACGGTAGGCGGTGGAAGGGAGAGCTGGCGCAGCTGCCGTGGTGGCAGCGGCTGAAGTGGCGGCAGCTGCGGCCCCTGCAACAGCTCCGGGCTCGGCGCTTTGGTGGCGGCGCCGGCGGGCTGGGCTGCACGGTGCGGACCCCGGTGCGCGGTCCGGGTTGCTGGGGCGGCGCGTGTAAGAATCCCAGGGATGCAAGGGCTTGGCCGAGGGAGAGGGCAGGGGTCGAGGGTCAGAGGGCGCGGAGTTAGGGGTTGCGTCTGGGCACCCGCGTGTGGGAGGCGGGCAGGGCGAGCCCCGAAGGAGCACGGGGAAGTCCCGGCCGTGCTGTTCTCTCTCCAGTCCGCGCTGAAGCTTTGCACCCCTTTTCCTCGCCCCTGGCTTCCTGGGACGACCCCAGCGTGGGCGCCCCGACCCGGGCAGGGAGCACGTGCAACTGGAGCCGCACTCCCTCCTCCTGCTTTCTCCCTGGCCCGCTCCTTTGCCTGGCGCCCTGGGGTGACCCTGCGGAGACCGGTGCCCGGTCGGGTTGTCCCAGCGAACAGCGGGACGGCAGCTGGCCTCGAGGCCCCAGGACCTGTCTCTAGGGGTGACCTTCTGGGCTGTCCGTGGACCAGAGCCCACTGGGGGAGCCCAGGCTGGGTCTCAGGACTCGGGTCCCAGCGCTGCTGTGCACTGTGTGACCTTGGGCAAACCCCTTTCCCTCTCTGGGCCCCATTTCCCTCTCTGTAAAATGATGGGTTCGAGTTTAAGTTGGGGGACGGTGCGGCGAGTAGGTTACAGGGAGGAGAGGACTTGGGACTGAGCTGGAGTTTACTTGTAAGAGGCAAGTTAAGCCGGCTAAGCCCCCGTCACCTGTGCGGGGTGGGGGGGCTGTGCAGAGACAGGGTCCCCCACAGCAGCACCGTGGACACTTTGAGCCGGGTGGTTCTTAATTGTTGGGAGAGGGGTCTCACCTGTGAGTTGCAGGCGGTGTAGTGGTCTCCCTGGCCTCTGCCCACGGACAAGCCCCCACCCCTGGTGAGCAAAGTCAATCCTGTTGAGAGCCCCTGAGCCGGGAGGGACATCCGTGCAAGCAGGCTGTCGTGGGTTACACAGTTAAACCTAAAATACCAGTAGGACAATAATGAGGAAATTTAGGGAGCTGTGCGCGCTGGCCTGACGGGGTTAAGAGCCTCTTGCTTTCAGAATGAATAGGAGAGATGTGGTCAAAGCCGAGGGATGGATGCAGGGAAGTGCGTTTGTGAATTCTGTTCCGGAGGATGCTTGAAGATACCCACGGTAAAAAGTTAAAAAGCTTAATTTTAAAGACAGCCTGGCGGTGGCTGTCTCTGGAATTCCCTCCTCCTCTGCCTCCTACTGAGATTTAAAAGCAAGCTGAATCCCCAGATAGGGAGGAAACTTAAAAAAAAAAACCTCACAGGAAGTTTGCCGGGCAGAGAGCTGCAGGCGGGGCCGCCTGTGGAGTGTTTACTTCTGTGTCCTTTAGCGGCCCGGCCGCCGCTCCCAGCTGTGCTGGGGACTGGCGGAGGAAGCCGGCTGCCCAGTCGCCGCCCGCCGCCCGGGCGGTGCAGCCCGGAGCCCAGGGACCGAGGAAGGGACCTGCTGCCCTGGTGAGGTCCGAAGGTCACCGGCGATCTGCTGGGCTTTGCCTGTGTCCTCCCCAGGAGAGGGCAATGTGTGTAAACAGCCTGGCCGGCCGGCTGCTCTTCCCTAAGTGGAGGACGTGGACTTTGGCTGGGTGACCCTGCGCGCCCCCTTCCCTTTCCTCCTGGGAGACCCGAAGCCAGAACAATGCTGGGCTGGAACGGATGTGGGCTGGTTATCAGCAGGGCGCAGGATGCGCTTGGAGGGTCAGCCTGGGCCTGAGAGATGGAGGAGGACCCCGTGGCCGGGCCTGCTGGCCCTTCCCTGGCCACGGAATCCCAAGGCCAGCCCTTAGGTAGATAATGGGGAGCTTGCTCCCTAGCTGTGGGGTCTTAGGCAAGTTACAGACCCTCTCTGTGCCAAAAGTTTCATCCTACCTATTGCATGGAGCTATTTAACATTTTTTTAAACGTGATATTTTATGTATGATGCTAGCAATAACATTTTAAATTATAGTCAAGGGGCTGGTGCTGTGGGTAAAACTGCCTCCTGCAGTGCCAGTATCCTGTATGGGCACCAGTTCAAGTCCCGGCTGCTCCACTTCCCATCCAGCTCTCTGCTATGGCCTGGCCTGGGAAAGCAGTGGAAGATGGCGCAAGTCCTTGGGCCCCTGCACCCATGTGGGAGACCTGGAAGAAGCTCCTGGCTCCTGGCTTTGGATCTGCCCAGCTCTGGCTGTTACAGCTATTTGGGGAGTGAACCAGTGGATGGAAGATTCTCTCTCTCTCTCTCTCTCTCTCTCTGCCTCTCTATAACTCTGCCTTTCAAACAAATAAACCTTAAGGAAAAAATTATAGTCAAAGGCTTAATGTGCCACTTAAAAAATATTTATTTACTTGAAAGGCACAGGAACAGAAAGAGAGAGAGAGAGAGATCTTCCATCCACTGGTTCACTCCCCAAATGTCCACAATGGTCATGGCTGAGCCAGGCCAAAGCCAGGAGTCTGGAACTCCATCCAGGTCTCCTACAAGGGTGGCAGGGGCCCAAGTACTTAGACCGTCTTCTGCTGCTTTCCCAGGTGCATTAGCAGGGAGCTGGATTGGAAGTGGAGCAACCAGGACTGGAACTGGTGCTCCTATGGGGTGCCAGTGTCATACGTGGTGGCTGAACCCACTGTGCCACATGCTGGCCCCGCTATTTGAAGTTTTAATCAACTTTTAACTTGCTGGTAGAGTGCCCCGTACATAGTAAGCACTCATTCAGTATGAACTACTTGTATGTTAATGACTTCTTTTTTGGTCTTTAAAATCTTTATAAAATCACACAAATAAGTATAAAGAGTGGTGGAGATAGAACATATTGGCCCAAATCTCACTCCCAGGTGTAATTACCCTTAACATTTTAGCATTTATTCCTGCAGTCTCCCTCTGCGTATTTTTTTTTTAAAGATTTATTTACTTGAAAGTCAGAGTTACACAGAGAGAAGGAGAGGCGGGGGGTGGGGGGTCTTCCATCCGCTGGTTCACTCCCCAGTTGGCTGCAGCGGCCGGAGCTGTGCCGATCTGAAGCCAGGAGCCTGGAGCTTCTTCCAAGTCTCCCACACGGGTACATCTTCCACTGCTGTCCCAGGCCATAACAGAGAGCTGGATCGGAAGTGGAGCAGCCGGATCTTGAACCAGCGCCCATATGGGATGCCGGCACTGGGGGCGGTGGCTTTATCCGCTATGCCACAGCGCTGGCCCCAGCCCTTTGCATATTTTATTGCTAGTATTCTGTGATCCCTCTGCTTTTTTTTTTTTTTTTTTCACCTTGAGATGTAATTCACACACCGTGCACTCGCTGGTGAGACTGGGGATAATTCGTGGGCTTTCAGCGTGGCCACCGGTTGTGCAGTCTCCCCAGCTTCTAGTTCTGGGACGATTCCCTCAGCAGCGGTCATGTTTTAATACTTGCCTCTTTCTGTGTCCTGAACCCCCCCCCCCCCCCAGAAGATGCTTCTAATGGAGGAGTTTCTGAGACACAGCTCCGGGCCCGTGGCTTTCGGAGGCAGCTCGCGCCAGCAACTGTTTACAGCCCTGGACGTCACCTCCTGAGGGCCGCAGGACGAAAGGACATGGCCGTGAGTCTCGACGACGATGTGCCCCTGATCCTGACCTTGGACGAGGCTGGCGGCGCCCCACTGGCCCCTTCCAACAGCCTGGGCCAAGATGAGCTGCCCAGCAAAAGTAAGCCAGCAGGGAGGGCTGGGGGCCGCAGCTTTCTGTTCGGGGGAGAGAGAGAGATGGTGGTGGTGGCTTTGATGGGAGAGGCGTGCCCTTGGTCGCTGACCCCGCACTCCGGCCCCAGGGTCTGGGGGCTGACGCCCCGATAGCCCCAGCCGGCAGAGCTCTGGGGGTCTGCTTCCCCAGTCACTTGCCTCCCTCGCGTGCAGGTGCCGTGGCTCAGTCCGTGGATGCTTGACAAGGACCTCCCTGGCTCGCTTCCCTGCCCCATTCCTTGTTAAAAAAAAGAAACAGATTCCCACAGCAGCCCCCGAGTGTCCCGGTCTGAGGCCCCCAGCAGGACCGCAGCGCTGAGCGCCTCTCTCTGCTCCGTCGATGCCCGGGTTGCCCGGGCTGCCCGGGCCGGGCGGTGAGGGCCGAGCGCCGGTCGGGATCCATTGATTGGCGGGTTTGGGGTTTTGCTTTGTCTTCCTCTGAACCACAGCTTCGTGCAAAGTGAACCCAAGAGAGGTGGGGAGCTTTACATTTTTAAAACCTTAAGTGTCTTTCTGGCAGGACAAGAGGCTTTAAGAACCTTTCTGGTCCCTGTCCCGAAACCATTTGTTTCCCGGGCTTCGGCGGTGGGCTCCAAAGAGGCAAAAATAACTGCCTTTCCTGGACGTGGGGTGCAGTGTTCTCGGGCCCCCGTAGCAGACGGTGTCAGCGTCTGCCCGGCACAGGGCCTGCTCCTCTCCCGTTCCCGAGGCACTGGGACGACGGGCCCGCCCCTCCCTTCTCCTGTGTCCAGAGAGGACGGGGTCAGTGGCGGGGAGCCCAGCAGGCTGCTGGGAAGTGAGGAGGGGGAGGGGGAGGGGGGGTGTGGGAGCCCTGGCGCCCCCGCAGCGCGCCTCTCTCTGCTGCTGCGTGATGGCCCCATCCCGGGTGGCGGAGCCGGGCGGCCCAGGAGGGTTGAAACAGGAGCCAGCTCCTTCCCGAGCACCACTCACGGCTGAG